TTCCATCGATACCGAGCTTATTGAGGGTTTTTAGCATAAAGGGCTGTTGAATTTTGTCAATGCCTTCTCTGCGTCAATTGAGATGATCATGTGGTTTTTGTTTTTGGTTCTGTTTATGTGGTAAATTATGTTTATAGACTTGCGTATGTTGAACCAGCCTTGCATCTCCGGGATGAATCCTACTTGATCATGGTGAATAAGTTTTTTGATTTGCTGTTGCATTTGGCTTGCCAATATTTTATTGAAGATTTTTGCATCTATGTTCATCATGGATATTGGCCTGAAGTTTTCTTTTCTTGTTGGGTCTCTGCCGGGTTTTGGTATCAGGATGATGTTGGTCTCATAAAAGGATTTGGGAAGGATTCCCTCTTTTTGGATTGTTTGAAATAGTTTTAGAAGGAATGGTACCAGCTCCTCTTTGTGTGTCTGGTAGAATTCGGCTGTGAACCCGTCTGGACCTGGGCTTTTTTTGTGTGGTAGGCTCTTAATTGCTGCCTCGACTTCTGACCTTGTTATTGGTCTATTCATAGTTTCAGCTTCCTCCTGGTTTAGGCTTGGGAGGACACAGGAGTCCAGGAATTTATCCATTTCTTCCAGGTTTACTAGTTTATGTGCATAGAGTTGTTTGTAATATTCTCTGATGATGGTTTGAATTTCTGTGGAATCAGTGGTGATTTCCCCTTTATCATTTTTTCTTGCATCTATTTGGTTGTTCTCTCTTTTATTTTTAATCAATCTGGCTAGTGGTCTGTCTATTTTGTTGATCTTTTCAAAAAACCAGCTCTTGGATTTATTGACTTTTTGAAGGGTTTTTCGTGTCTCAATCTCCTTCAGTTCAGCTCTGATCTTAGTTATTTCTTGTCTTCTGCTGGGTTTTGAGTTTTTTTGATCTTGCTCCTCTAGCTCTTTCAATTTTGATGATAGGGTGTCAATTTTGGATCTCTCCATTCTCCTCATATGGGCACTTATTGCTATATACTTTCCTCTAGAGACTGCTTTAAATGTGTCCCAGAGGTTCTGGCATGTTGTGTCTTCGTTCTCGTTGGTTTCGAAGAACTTCTTTATTTCTGACTTCATTTCGTTGTTTACCCAGTCAACATTCAAGAGCCAGTTGTTCAGTTTCCATGAAGCTGTGCGGTTCTGGGTTGGTTTCTGTATTCTGAGTTCTAACTTGATTGCACTATGGTCTGAGAGGCTGTTTGTTATGATTTCAGTTGTTTTGCATTTGTTGAGCAGTGCTTTACTTCCAATTATGTGGTCAATTTTTGAGTAGGTGTGATGTGGTGCTGAGAAGAATGTATATTCTGTGGATTTGGGGTGGAGAGTTCTGTAAATGTCTATCAGGTTTGCTTGCTCCAGGTCTGAGTTCAAGCCCTGGATATCCTTGTTGATTTTTTGTCTGGTTGATCTGTCTAATATTGACAGTGGAGTGTTAAAGTCTCCCACTATTATTGTGTGGGAGTCTAAGTCTTTTTGTAAGTCATTAAGAACTTGCCTTATGTATCTGGGTGCTCCTGCATTGGGTCCATATATGTTTAGGATCGTTAGCTCTTCTTGTTTTATCGATCCTTTTACCAGTATGTAATGGCCTTCTTTGTCTCTTTCGATCTTTGTTGCTTTAAAGTCTATTTTATCGGAGATGAGAATTGCAACTCCTGCTTTTTTTTGCTCTCCATTTGCTTGGTAAATCTTCCTCCATCACTTTATTTTGAGCCTTTGTGTATCCTTGCATGTGAGATGGGTTTCCTGGATACAGCACGCTGATGGGTTTTGGATTTTTATCCAATTTGCCAGTCTGTGTCTTTTGATTGGTGCATTTAGTCCATTTACATTTAGGGTTAATATTGTTATGTGTGAATTTGATACTGCCATTTTGATGCTAAGTGGCTGTTTTGCCTGTTAGTTGTTGTAGAATCTTCATTATGTTGATGCTCTTTAACTTTTAGTGTGATTTTGGAATGGCTGGTACTGGTTGTTCCTTTCTATGTGTAGTGCCTCTTTTAGGAGCTCTTGTAAAGCTGGCCTGGTGGTGACAAAATCTCTGAGTACTTGCTTGTTCGCAAAGGATTTTATTTTTCCTTCACTTCTGAAGCTCAGTTTGGCTGGATATGAAATTCTGGGTTGAAAGTTCTTTTCTTTAAGAATGTTGAATATTGGCCCCCACTCTCTTCTGGCTTGTAGTGTTTCTGCCGAGAGATCTGCTGTGAGTCTGATGGGCTTCCCTTTGTGGGTAACTCGACCTTTCTCTCTGGCTGCCCTTAGTATTTTCTCCTTTATTTCAACCTTGTTGAATCTGACGATTATGTGCCTTGGGGTTGCTCTTCTTGCAGAATATCTTTGTGGTGTTCTCTGTATTTCCTGCATTTGAGTGTTGGCCTGTCTTGCTAGGTGGGGGAAGTTTTCCTGGATGATGTCCTGAAGAGTATTTTCCAGCTTGGATTCATTCTCTTCATCCCCTTCTGGTACACCTATCAAACGTAGGTTAGGTCTTTTCACATAGTCCCACATTTCTTGGAGACTTTGTTCATTCCTTTTTGCGCTTTTTTCTCTAATCTTGGTTTCTCCTTTAATTTCATTGAGTTGGTCTTCAACTTCAGATATTCTTTCTTCTGCTTGGTCAATTCGGCTATTGAAACTTGTGCATGCTTAGCGAAGTTCTCGTATTGTGTTTTTCAGCTCCTTTAATTCATTCATATTCCTCTCTAAGTTATCCATTCTTGTTATCATTTCCTCATATCTTTTTTTAAGTTCCTTAGTTTCTTTGCATTGATTTAATACATGTTCTTTTAGCTCACAAAAGTTTCTCATTATCCACCTTCTGAAGTCTAATTCCGTCATTTCGTCACAGTCATTCTCCGTCCAGCTTTGCTCCCTTGCTGGTGAGGAGTTTTGGTCCTTTCTAGGAGGTGAGGTGTTCTGGTTTCGGGTGTTTTCCTCCTTTTTTCGCTGGTTTCTTCCCATCTTTGTGGGTTTATCCGCTTGTCGTCTGCGTAGTTGCTGACTTTTCGATTGGGTCTCTGAGTGGACACCCAGATTGTTGATGATGAAGTATTTCTGTTACTTGGTTTTCCTTCTACCTGTCTAGCCCCTTCGCTGTATGACTGCTGAGGTCCACTCCAGGCCCTGCTTGTCTGGGGTGCACCTCTAGCAGCTGTGGCACAGTGAGGGATGCTACCCGTTTCTTTTTCTGCTATCTTTGTCCCAGGATGATGCCTGCCAAATGTCAGTCTTTTGGATATAGAGGGGTCAGGGAGCTGCTTGAGGAGACAGTCTGTACTTTTTTGGAGCTCAATTGCTGAGCTGTGCACTCTGTTGTTCATTCAGGGCTGTTAGGCTGCTATGTTTCATTCTGCTGCAACAGAGCTCATTAAAAAAAAACCCTTTTTTTCTCAAATGCTCTGTGTTGGGGGGTTCGGGCTTTATTTTTCGATGTCCGATGAGGTGTTCTGCCCAGCTAAAAGGCAGACTAGCCACTGTTTGGTGGCCGAGGCTCCGCCCTGCTGTTGTGTGATTCGCCCTGTTCCTGCAGGCTCTGCTGTGGTCTCTGCCATGCCCTGCGGCAGAGTCTCTTCGTTGTAGCGTGTTGCCTCAGCAAGGGCAGGCTGCGTCAGCAGTGGGCGTGTATCTCAGTAGGGACGGGTTGCCTCGGCAACGGAAGGCTGCGTCAGCAGTGGGCGTGTATCTCAGTTCGGGCGGGTTGCCTCGGTAGTGATGGACGCCCCTCCCCCACAGAGCGTCTCAGACTGTCTGCTCGGGATAGTTTGAAATCGCGGTTTTGTTCGTCCCACTGGGTGTCCCAAACGATCTGTCACTGCAATCCCCTGGGCTGGCCTACTGTCCACGTCTCGTTCAGTCTCAAGTCCAGCCCTCTCAAGTCTCAGGTTGCTGGTTCAACAGGGCACCCGGACAAGCACGCCCTGTGGGGATTGCTGGGTAGGGCCGGCCGCTGCCGCCCCGGCTGCCGTCTTCGCCAGGCAGACCTACTGCCTGGCGTCCCATGTCTTTTTTATACTTGGGAGTTTCCCCGTTCTGTGGGCAACAAAGATCAGTCTGGTAATGCAGCTCCGACTCACCATTTGCGGATTCAACGAGAGCTCCAATCCTGGGTTGTTCTCACAGCGCCATCTTAATAGTAAAAATTCTGCTTATTGCTTTTTAGCATTCGTTTCTTTCAGATTGAAGAACTCCCCTTAACATTTCCTGAAGGACAGGTATTATAGTGACAAGCTCTTCCCTTAGCTTTTGTTTGTGTGGAAGAATCTTAATCTCTTCCTCATATTTGAAGGGTATTTTTGCTGGATACAATATTCTAGAATAAAAGTTTTTTTCTTTCATCATTTTGAATCTGTCATGCCACTCTCTCCTGATCTTTAAGTTTTCCGCTAAGAAGTCTGCTGCCACTCCTTTATATGTTATTTGTTTCTTTTCTCTTGCTGATATTAGGACCCTTTCTTTATCCTTGGCCTTTGGGAGTTTGATGATTAAATACCTTAAGGTTTTATTTGGGTTAAATCTGCTCGGTGTTCTATAACCTTCTGGTACTTGGATATTGATATATTTCTCTAGGTTTGAAAAGTTCCATTTTTATTTATTTGAATAAACTTTCTACCCTCACCTCTCTCTCTACCTCCTGTTTAAAGCCAATAATGCTTATATTTGCCTATTGAGGCTATTTTCTAGATCTTGTAGGTGTGCTTCATTCTTTTTCATTTTGTTTATTTTTTTCTCTTCTGACTGTATTTTCATATAGCTTGTCTTCAAGCTCACTAATTCTTTCTTCTGCTTGATCAAGTCTGCTATTGAGAGACTCTGATGCATTTTTCAGTTTGCCAATTGCATTTTTCAGCCATAAAATTTCTGCTTGAGTTTTTGAAATTATTCCAATCTTTTTGTTAAATTTCTCTAATAGGGTTTTGAATTTCTTCTCTGTGTTGTCTTGAACCTCCAAACAGCTATTTTGAATTTTGTGTTTGAAAAGTCACATATCTTTGTCACTCTGAGGTCTTTTTTTCATTCATTTGCTGAGATAACATTTTCCTGGATGCTATTGATGCTTCTGAATATTTGTTTATGTCTAGGCATTGATGAGTGTATTAGTCTGTTCTCACACTGCTATAAAGAAATACCTGAGACTTGGTAATTTATTAAGAAGAGGGGTTAAATTGACTCACAATTCTGCAGGTTGTACAGGGAGCATGTCTGGGAAAGCCTCAGTAAACTTACAATCATGGTGAAAGGGGGAAGGAAAAGCAAGCGCATCTTCATATGGTGGCAGGAAAGAGAGAGAGAGCAAAGGGGGAAGTGCCACACACTTTTAAACCATCAGATCTCATGAGAACTCACTCACTTTCATGAGACCAGCAAGAGGGAAATCTGCTCCCATGAACCAATCATCTCCCACCAAGTCCCTCCCCAAACAGTGGGAATTACAATTCAACATGAGATTTGGGCGGAAACACAGAGCCAAACCATATCAATCAGTTAGTTGTTTATTCTAACCTTTGCAGTCTGGGCTTGTTTGTACCCATCCTTCTTGAGAAGGCTTTTCAGGTTCAAAGGGAATTGAATGTTGTGATCTAAGTCTTTGATAACTGCAGTCTTATCTGTACTAGAAGGTATCCCAAGCCTTTTAACTATACTAGAAATGGTGGATGGAAGGATAGATACGAGTCTCTTGAAGACTCATAGACATACTACTTTGGTGGACTTGTGTGAGATCTGGAAGAATTCCCTGGATCATCAGGCAGAGTCTTTCATTCTCTTCCCTCACATTCCCTAAAACATAAGGTGGGTCTTTCTCTGTGCTGGGCTGCCTAGAGTTGGAGAATGGGTGATATAAGCACTACAATGGCCACCATCTGTAGGACTGTACTGGGCCCTTGGCAACTACTGCCTGGCTCCTGCTGATGTTTATTTGAGGCCCAGAGGCTCTTTCTTCAGCAGGTGGTGAATTTTTCCAAGACTAGATTCTTTTCTTCAGGGCAGCATGTTTTCTTCTAGCTTCGGGTGAGTCTAGAAATGCCATCCAGGAGATAAAGCCTGAATTCAAAGTCTTCAGGAATCTGCTAAATGCCTTATTTTACTGTGGCTGTGCTAGTACCCAAGTTGCAGGGCAAGGTCCTTTTTACTCTTCTCTCTCTATTTTTTGCAAGTGGATGAAGTCCCTCCCAGAGCTGCACTGCCTGGAATTTGGAGAGAGGTGATGCAAGCCCTCCGTTGGCCAATACAACTGGTGTCTCACTGGGTCACATGCACCACAAGTTCACTGGTTCTGAGCCTAGTTCAGTACCAGGACTTGCCCAAGGACTACAGTCCTTGTGGCTGAGACTGCCTTTCAAATATATTTAGGACCCCAGTCCACTTTAGTCAGCAGGCTGTGAAGCTAGCCAGAACTCAGTTTCCTATTGCTAGGGTGGAGGATTCCTCTCTGGCCAAAACTGATCTAAATGCTCCCTCCACAGGCATTAGCAGCATTCTGCTCTGTGTTGCTTTTGGCTGTGGCAGGTCAGCAGTGAGCTCCAGTGCAGAGTCCCATGATCACTTCATCCTCTCTCCTCTGAGCACACAAATTGTCTTTTGGCACATGACCCTGCCAGGGAATGGGGAAGGGATAGTTTAGGCCAGTGGTCCCCAGCCGTTTTGGCACCAGGAACCAGTTTCATAAAAGACAATTTTTCCGCAGACTGAGGGTAAAAGGGATGGGGATGGTTTCGTGATAAATCGAAAATTTAAGTGCATTACATTTATTGTGCAGTTTATTTCTATTTTTATTACATTGTAATATACAATGAAATAATTATACAACTCCCCATAATTTAGAATCAGTGGGAGCCCTGGGCTTGTCTTCCTGCAACTAGACAGTGCTATTTTCTGGAGACAGTGACAGATAATCAGGCAATAGATTCTCGTAAGGAGCACATAAGGTAGATACCTTGCATGCACAGTTCACAATAGGGTTCACACTCCTATGAATGCAGAATGCCGCTGTTGATCTGACAGGATGCATGCTCAGGTGGGAATGCTCATTAGTCCACTGCTATGTGGCCCAGTTTCTAACAGGCCATGGCCCAATATGGTCTCCCCCTCCCCCGCGGGGTGGAGGGTTAATTGTTTTATTTTACATTTTTGAATTTAAATTGTTTAATATTAAATTAAGATGGCCACATTAAAAACATTGAAAAATAAAGGAAACAAAGGTACTAAATGCTAACCTATTTCTACTTTAGCATATCTTTTTTTACATAATGTATATTCAAATAAATATATACTGTATAAGCAGTGTTATAACTCAACAATGTATTAGGAGCATTTGTGTGTTATAATAAAGCCTTCATAACCACTGTTTTAATAGCTGCATTAAATTCTATTGGTTAAATATATCAAAATGTCTTAACAGTCTTAAGACTATAGACTTCAATAGTCTCCTATGGAATATATATGTATGTGATCTGGGGGTTGGGGACCCCTGGTTTGGGCAATTCAAGACTATTTTTCCTGCCCTCTTCATGATATTAAAACCAGTACTATGATCACTCACCTGATTTTGAGTTCTTACGAAAGGACTTTCTTGCATGGATAGTTGTTCACTTTGGTGTTCCTGCAGAGGGATGATTGCTGGAGTGTTTTATCTAGCCATCTTGCGCGGTTAGATAGAATGCTATCTAGGTTCAAAAAATTCCTACCTCTTCTCAACTTCTCCCTTCCTCACCATCAATGCTAGGCTTCTTTCTGTTACCTGAGTTCTGTTTGCCCCTAGATCCTACAGTCTTAGTGGACCACCTTCCAATCTTCACCCCCACCAGAACACACTCCGATAATGAGTCATGTTTCTCAACTAGAACCCCCCACCTCTTCTCTAGACCAATCTGCCTTACCAGATCCCACCCTCTCCCAGGAAATCAACCTCTCATCCAAGTTGATTCCCCCATGAATTCTACTGTATCATTTGCCTGGCACCCCACCCCCATCAATCCTCTTGCTATGGTCTGGCTGTGTCCCCACCCAAATCTCATCTTGAATTCCCACATGTTGTGGGAGGGACCTGGTGGGAGGTTATTGAATCACAGGGGCAGGGCTTTCCCATGTTGTTCTCATGATAGCAAATAAGTCTCACAAGATCTGATGGTATTATAAGGGGGAGTTTCCCTGCACAAGCTCTCTGTTTGCCTGCCACCATCCATGTAAAATGTGACTTGCTCCTCCTTGCCTTCCACCATGATTGGGAGGCCTCCCCAGCCATGTGGAACTGTAAGTTAATTAAACCTCTTTCTTTTGTAAATTGGTCGGTCTCAGGTCTGTCTTTATCAGCATCATGAAAACCGACTAATATTGGCTGGGTGCGGTGGCTCACATCTGTAATCCCAGTGCTTTGGGAGGCCCAGGTTTGGGGATTACTTAAGGTCAGGAGTTCAACACCAGCCTAGGCAGCATGGTGAAACCCCATCTCTACTAAAAATACAAAAAAATTTAGATGGGTGTGGTAGGGCATGCCTGTAGTCCCAGCTACCTGGGAGGCTGAGGCTGGAGAATGGCTTGAACCCAGGAGGTGGAGGTTGTAGCGAGCAGAGATGGCACCATTGCATTCCAACCTGGGTGACAGAGCAAGACTTTGTCTCAAAAAAAAAAAAAAAATGAACGAATACATCTCTACTGCATGACTATCAGACTCCTCCATAACTCTGACTCAATCTGACTTAATTCTAATCCAACTGTATATTGTCCTGGTGAACTCATGTCAAGATAACACCTGTTGGTTGGCCTCTTCTGTCCCCACAATCTCATGCTTCAACCACTCAAGTCTGCCCAGTTCATTCTTCTTCTGGTAACAAGCAACTGCTCAGGACTTGGTCCTCCCCACCTCATCACACTGCAATTTCTAGCAGGAGCTTCTTTTCTTCCATCCATAAGGGGATTCTCTCTGAGGAAATCTTGAAATAGTCGTGTGAAGACCAGTAGCTTCTTTCTCCCCAGTCATGAAACCCAGTAACTCCTGGAGACACAAGTCACAATGAGAGAGTAGTTCACAACATCCACTAGTAGTAGTACCAACTGACTATCAGAATATGTCAAAGCTCAATGGACTTTTTTGACTCACCAATTACCAATGATGTGATAATTCACATAAGCATTTTTTTTTTTGAGAGAGAGAGTCTCACTCTGTCCAGGCTGGAGTGCAGTGGCATGGTCACAGGTCACTGCAGCCTTGACTTCCCCATCCTCCTGTCTCAGCCTTCCTTGACCTCCTCAGGCTCAGGTAGTCCTCCTGTCTCAGCTTCCAAGTATCTGGGACTACAAGAGCATGCCCCCACACCTGGCTAATTCTTTAAATATTTTGTAGAGATGGGGTGTATTAGTCCATTTTCATGCTGCTGAAAAAGACATACCCAAGACTGTGTAATTTATAAAGAAAAAGAGGTTTAGGCCAGGTGTGGTAGCTCACACCTATAATCCCAGCACTTTGGGAGGCTGAGGCAGGTGGATCACCAGGTCAAGAGATTGAGACCATTCTGGTCAACAAGGTGAAACCCCATCTCTGCTAAAAATACAAAAATTAGCTGGGCATGGTGGTGCATGCCTGTAGTCCCAGCTACTCAGGAGGCTGAGGCAGGAGAATTGCTTGAACCAGGAGGCGGAGGTTGTGGTGAGCCGAGGTTGCACCATTGCACTCCAGCCTGGGTAACAAGAGCGAAACTCCATCTCAAAAAAAAAAAAAAAAAAGAAAAGAAAAAAAAAAAAGAGATTTAATGGACTCACAGTTCCATGTGGCTGGGGAGGCTTCACAAACATGGTAGAAGGTGAAAGCCACGTCTTACATGGCAGCAGAAAAGAAAGAGAGTCAAGCAAAAAGGGAAACCCCTTATAAAACCATCTGATCTCATGAGACTTATTCACTACCAATAGAATAGTATGGGAGAACCCACCCCCATGATTCAGTTATCTCCCAACAATTCCCTCCCAAACCATGTGGGAATTATGGGAGCTACAATTCAACATGAGATTTGGAGATTTGGATGGGGACGCAGCTAACCCGTATCACAGGGTTTCACCATGTTGCCCAGGCTGGTCTCCTGGTCTCAAGCTATCTGCCCATCTCAGCCTCCAAAGTGCTGGAATTATAGGCATGAGCCACTAGCAGCCAGCCTGCAAAAGCATTTTTTAAGTAACTAAGAAGAGAAACTCTTGCACCCCCATAAAATCAAGAGCATTTGAGGGAATATGGTTGGGACTTCTGGGGCCTTCCATCCTCACAGCTGGGGGATGAATCCCAGACTTGGGATAAAATACTTCTTCCCAAAGAGATGACTCTGGCAGCAGCCATCTTTGCTCCTCCCCTCTGCTGTCCAGCTCAGCCTGGGGCCTGAGGTTGAGCTTGTGAGACTAACCTTTACTCACTGGCAAGGACAAATACAGCCCTGTTGGGTAGGGGTCCCCCAATTCCATCCAGCTCAGCCCACTCCCCACAGGCTTCAAAGCAGGTAAACTTCTATCCAGGAGCAGGTGAAATGGACAGAAAACAGGAGCAAGTGACTGTTACTACATGTTACATTGCAAGACACCTTTTCTGAACTTAGGGTTTCAGGCTGTCTGCTCACCACCCCTTCTGGCTAATGTGCTGTTTAAATAAATGGATGAATGAACAGATAGATGGATGAGTGGATGGATAGATGGATTGATATATGGATGGATAGATGGATGGATGGATCGATGGATGATGGATGAGTAGGTGAACAGATAGATAAATGGGTGGGTGGATGGATGGATGAATGGAAGGATGGATGCATGGTGTGATATACTTTTTAAGTGCTGTCTGGAACCAGTTTTGAGACCAGGACTACGGACCAGTAAGTTCCTGTTCTTGAGCAGGTGAATTAGTTCACACTCCCAACAACCTCCCTTGTTAGGCTCTCATACTTGGGGCCATTATCCACCTGTCCTAATCAGTCCATGGCCAGATATCACACAACCAAAGATAGTCCTATACACAGAGCCCACTGAACTTATTCAAATGAGCCAATCCTAAGACTGCTTACACTGCTTCTCCCACTCCTTTCTGCAGAAACCACAACAAGGTGCTTGCCCATGGTTCCTCCCTTCCCTTTGCCTCATGACTGAGGCCAGTGATTCCCTGTGTGGCCCCCCATGGTATGACATGTACTCCCTCTCTGGGGATCTGTGTATAGAAAAGTATCTTTTCATTGGGAGTCATCTCCTGATGTGTTGGCTTTATCCTACCTAAACAATAATAAAAGCGACTCAAACAGATGGATAGGCTTGATGGATGGATGGAGAGAGAGAGAGAGAGATGAGAGACTAAATAAACACTTAAGAAAAAAAAAACAAGCAGCTACAGTGACTGCTTGTATGACACAGTCTGGCCCTAACAGCAGCCACAGAGCACACCCCTCTTCCCAATGCACCTATATCCCCATTACCCCAGCATTTCACCCTCATGCTGGGGCTCTGGCCCAGACTCATTGGGATGTAGAAACAAAATGATAGGTTCTTACAAAAGGAAATTTTTCCTCCTGAAATGAATGCCTCCCTAGGCTCAATCAGAGCAGGACTTGCAGGAAGGGAGGTAAAGTGCAGCTGGGTCTTCTCACCTGGCTTGGGGCCCTGCAGGAAGACAGGAGCACAGCACACCTCTCAGCCTTTGTTTTGTCCACTTGAGAAATTTCTAGCTGATGAGTTTAACCTATTCAATCAGAATCTTGGTGCATTGATAAATATGTTTTCCACGGTTCCATGTTCCCATGGGTTTATGACATCATATGCAACCTTAGAAATATAGATCTGGGCATGGTGGCTCATGCCTGTAGTCCCAGCACTTTGGGAGGCCAAGGTGGGCAGATCACTTGAGGTCAGGAGTTCAAGACCAGCCTGGGCAACATGGTGAAATGCTGTCTCTACTAAAAATACAAAAATTAGCTGAATGCGGTAACAGGTGCCTGTAGTCCCAGCTATTTGGGAGGCTGAGGCATGAGAATTACTTGAATTCAAGAGGCAGAGGTTGCAGTGAGCCAAGATCACACCACTGCATGCACTCCAGCCTAGGTGACAGAGCAAGACCCTGTCTAAAAAAAAAAAAAAAAGAAAAATAGAAAAGAAAAATTCAGACAAGAGGGTATATAATTTCCCAGGGATAATTCAATCCTTCTGAAAGAGTGAACCATAAATTCCAGGATCCTATCGGAATGTTAAATCAAGTATTTTTCACTGTATTTTGTTAAGTTCTCCTCCTTTAGTCTGCATTCATGCTGGCTGAATTTTTTTTTGAACATTAAATAAATTCTGTGTTTGTCTTGCTCAGTCAGCCTTCTGCTCTGCAGAGTTGTTACTTTAGTTACAGTTGTCCCTGGGACACTTTGTCACATATACTCATCTCATTTATTGCTTTCTCACACCCTCTAGTTCAGAAATTTGGGGAGCCACTGGCAGGGGGTGGTGCTTTTATTAAGTCATTTTCTTTATTTACAATCTTAATTTGGTAAAATCTGTCTGAATGTAGAGACTTGACTTAGCACAATTGCAAGAAACTGCCTTCCCAATGATCGAGTATAGAATAGAACTCGGAAAGGCCCCTTGCCCAAAACATCTCCCTATCATTCTGCTGAGGGGTGACAGTCTACGACCAGAAGTATAGTCATTTAAAGAAGTTTTATGAGATCTATTGTACAGCATGGCGACAATAGCTAATAATAATGTACTGTATATTTCAAAATGCTGACAGCAGATTTTAAATGTTTGTAGTACAAGAGTGTTAAGTATACAAGGTGATGGATATGTTAATTAGCCTGATTTAATCATTCAATAATATATACGTATGTCAAAATGTCACATTGTACCACGTAAGTAGATACAATTACTATTTGTCAATTAAAAATAAAATGAAATATACCAAGTAAAACACTTGAGGTAGTGATTTAAAAAGAAAGAGAATAAATAAATAAATAAATTAATTAATTAATTAAATAAATAAATTAAGGCTTCGAGTCTTTAAAATCCCCTAGGAAGGGGCAACTCTTCAGAAAAGAGGAAAGTCTGAGCCCTTAACTGTCTGAGCTGCTTGGGCCAACATTTCAGTCTGATGGGGATGGGGAAGGATGTGGGAGCACATGGTCCTCAGAAAGCAGCAGCCTAGAGGAGCACAGAGGATATCAGCCCAAGAGGAAGCCCCATTAGGATGGATGAGAACTACAAGTGCAGGGCAGAGGGGACCTAGTAGGGCACATTCTGCTGACTTAAGGCAGAGATGAGTAAGGATCTTTTTCGTGCTATAAGATAAACAATCTCTGAATCTCTTCTCATAGTTTACAGCCAGTCTTCACCACTCTGCTGTCACAGTCCAAATCCATTTCCTGTACTTCTCCAGTCATTTCAGAGAACCACGCTGTGCCATGAGATAACAACTGCACACAGCAATGGCATTTATACCTACACGAACCTACAGGATGAGGCTTCCTTTACAAGTCCAATTCACACATAACATATTAGCCTCGTTCCTGATTTGATTTTAGGAGAAAATATTGAGTAGTTCAACATAAAGTATGAGGTTAGCTGACATTTTTTGTTGGTGTCCTTTATCAGATAGAGTGGTTATTTCTTTCTGGATTGCTGAAAAGTTTATTTATTTATTTAAATCATAGATGCATATTGGATTTTGCCAAATGCTTTTTCTGCATCTAATGAAATTATATTTTTCTCTGTTATTCTGTTAATGTGGTAGCTTACATTATGAATTTTAAGTCAACCTTAAATTACTAAACTCCACTTGGTTTATATATAATAATTACCTTTCTTATATATTGCTAGATTTGGCTTGCTAATATTTTAAGAATTCTGATGGATATTGTTCTTAGATTTTCTTTTCTTTTTTCTTTTCTTGCAATTTTTATCAGATTTTGGTGTCGGGGCCTAGTGTGCACTCTTAAAAGAAGCTGGAAAGCATTCTTCCTGTTTTCCAAGTTTTGTAATATTGGTATTAATTCTTAGGTAAAGTTTGATAGAAAAATCACCAGTGCGGTGGCTCACGCCTGTAATCCTAGCACTGTGGGAGGCTAAGGAGAGAGAATTGCTTGAGCTCAAAAGTTCGAGATCAGCCTGGGCAACTTGGCAAGACCTCACTGAAAGAAAGAAGAGAAAGAGGAAAGAAAGAAAGAGAGAGAAGGAGAGGAAGGAAGGAAGGGAGGGAGGGAAGGAGGGACGGAAGGAAAGAAGGGAGGGAGGAAGGAAGGAAGAAAAAAAGAAAAATCATCACTGGAAGCATTTATGCCTGAACTATGTTATATTGTGTTATGAATCTATATATAGATATATATAATTGCTCATATTTTCTTTTTCTAAGAGAGATTTTTTATTTAATTTCAATTTTGGTAATTTGCATTTTTCACAAATTAGTCTATTTCATCTAAGTTGGTGAATTTATTTCCTTAAAGTTGTTTATAATATTTCTTTTTTATCTTTTTAATATCTTTAGGAAATCTAGTACTATAGCTCCATGCCTTCATCCTTAATATAAGTAATTTGTGCTTGCTTTCTTGATCAGTTTGCAACCAACTTAATCAATTTTATTAATGTTTTGAAAGAACCAACTTTTGGTTTTAATATTCTCTATTTTCTCTGCTCTCTGTCTCATTTATTTCCACTATAATTATCATTGTTTTCTTTCTTCTGCTTCATTTTGGTTTAATTTGCTTATCTTTTTCTAGTCTCTTAAAATACAAACTTAGATAATTGTTAAAAAATGTTTTTATTTTTATGTTTAAGCTTCTGTTGGATTTGATAGGCCATAATTTTAAGCCTTTCTTTTTTTCAAAGAATAGCATTTAAAGCTGTAAACTTCCCACTAAGCACTACTTTAGCCACATCCCACTAATTTAGTATATTATGTTTTCATTATTACACAATTTGAAATCTTTTCAGCCAGACTTGGTGGCTCATGCTTGTACTCCCAGCACTTTGGGAGGATGAGGTGGGTGGATCACCTAAGGTCAGGAGTTCAAGACCAGCCTGGCCAAGGTGGCAAAAACCTATCTCTACAAAAAAAAAAAAAATTAGCCGGGCATGACGGTGGGTGCCTGTAATCCCAACTACTCAGGAGGCTGAGGTGAGAGAATTGCTTGAACCTGGGAGGTGGAGGTTGCAGTGAGCCGAGATCACACCCCAGCACTCCAGTCTGGGTGACAGAACGAGACTCCATCTCCAAAAAAAGAAAAAAGAAAGAAAGAAAAGAAATACTATATTTTGCTTTGTGATTCCTTCTCTGACCCAGGGGTTATTTCAAAGTATGTTGTTTTGTTTTCAAATATTTCAGATTTTATAGGTATTTTAATGTTTTTACTCTATTTATTATTATTATTTTTTGAGACAGTGTGTCGTACTCTGCTGCCCAGGCTGGAGTGCAGTGGTATAATCCTAGCTTACTGCAACCTCAAATTCCTGGGCTCAAGCAATCTCCTGCCTCCAGGTGGCTACTGAAAACTTTTTTTTTTTTTTTGTAGAGATGGGGTCTCATTATGTTGCTCAGGCTGGTCTGAAACTCCCAGCCTCAAGCAATCCTCCCATCTCAGCATACCAAAGGGGTGGGATTATAGACATGAGCCAATGTGACTGGCCATTTGCTTTCTGATTTAACACTATTGTGGTTAGTGAACATTGCTTGTAAGATTTTAATCTTTGAAATTTATTGCAACTTGTTTGATGGCCCGGATTTGGTCTATCTGAGGGAACTTTTCATGTATTCATGCACAGAATGTCTATTCTTCTGTTATTTGCTTGAGTGTCTATAAATGTCAATTAGGTCAAGATGCTTGACAGTGTCTTACAGGTTTTCTAGATCAGCACTATCCAAAAGAAAAGTAATGTGAGCCAAATATGCAATTTTAAATTTTCTGGTAGCCACAGTAAATGAAGAAAAAAGAAACAGGTGAAATTAATTGTGATAATATGTTTTATTTAAGCCCAAATATAAAATAGCATTTTAACATGTAATCAACATAAAATTATTTGTTTTATTTATTTATTTATTTAATTTATTAAATAGAGTCTTATTCTGTCACCCAAGCTGGAGTGCAGTGGTGCGATCTTGGCTCACTGTAACCTCTGCCTCCCGGATTCAATCAATTCTCGTGCCTCAGCCTCCCGTGTAGCTGGAATTACAGATGTGCACCACCATGCCCGGCTAATTTTTTGTATTTTTAATAGAGGCGGGGTTTCATCATGTTGCCCAGGCTGGTCTTGAACTCCTGAGCTCAGGCAATCCACCCTTTTTGGCCTCCCAAAGTGCTAGGATTACAGGTATGAGCCACCATGCCCAGCCTGTAATTAACATAAAATTATTAATAAAAATATTTTACATTATTGTTTTCATTTTAAATCTTTGAAATTCAGTGTGAAGTTTATACCTCCTATCAAACCTCAATTGAAACTAACCACATTTCAAGAGCGCAATAGCCACTTGTGGCTCTAGTGGCTATTGTATCAACAGCAGAGTTCTAGACCCTCACCAGTTTTTTTCCTTTTATTTTATTCCATCAATTGCTTAAAGAGGTTTGTTAAAATCTTCAGCTATGATTATGGATTTGCCCATTTATCCCTTTATTTTTGTCAGTTTTGCCTCATTTATTTTGAAACACTGTTACTAGGTACATACACGATCAAGTAGGCTTCCTCCCTGGAA